ACCTGTCGAGCTACAGGAAATACAACAAAGAGAGTGATAAAGGCCATCTGATCATGCCACAGCAGGAAGAGACCGTAAACCTGCAGTAACAGTAAACGCCAGTCTCCTCCTCCTCCTCCTCGTGCTCTGCTGCTGCTATCCTACCTCTTCCTCCCCCATCTACTTCCTCTTGCCCCCCCCCCTCCCCCCTCCTCTTGATCTCTCCCTGCCTCCTCCTGTTCTTCCTCCCATCTCCCCACCTGGGACAGAAGGGTCACGACGATGAAGGCCAGCCGTGGGCGGTTGAGAATGTAACCGGCGAATCCTGCCCATCATCATTACATACTGTAGATCATCTCCCTGCTGATGCTGCTGCTGCTGCTGCTGCTGCTGCTGCTGCTGCTCTTTCTTTCCTCCGTCACTCCTTGCTCCCCCCCGTCCCACCTTCCTCTATCATCCCACGGCTCCCTCTGCTTATTCCAAAAGCGTGTTCCTTTCCCATCCTCCTCCTCTACTTCAGGCACCTGAAGCAGTGCAGAACATCATGGGAACGAAGCCGAGGGGGAGGATGATGTTGAACAAGTTCTGCGAGGGAGGAGAGGGCTGTCAGCACACATGAGAGGTGGAGGCGAGAAAAACCTTGAGACGGCTCGAGACTTGAGGGTCCTGGAAGAAGTACTCCACCTGGGGGCCCAGCGTGGCAAGGAGGAAGCCCTGCGGGTAGCAGGAAAGTTACAGGAGGGAGGGGGGGAGAGGGAGGGAAGAGCGGGGGGGGCATAAGGAAGAGGCAGAAGGGAGGAGGGAGAAGAAACAGAACAAGAATGCAGGTGGTGGTGGAGAAGGAGGAGGAGGAGGAGGGAGGAGGAGGAGGAGGAGGAGGAAGGAGGTAGGAGGAGGAGGTAGGAGGAGGGTCTCTCTTGCCTGACGGAAAATGTGCATGGAGAGGAAGATGGTGACATAGAGAAAAGGAGCTGAAAAGATCTGCAGCATACGCTCAGCACAAGCTCGCAGCGTCCCTCCTCCCTGACCTGCACGTGCAGAGGCTTGTCCATGAGCGCGTGCGGCTGCGTATGGTGGGCAGGAGGAGGAGGAGGAGCCTTCCTGCCGCCGTTGCTATGATGGTGAGTCTGAGGAGGAGGCTGAGCTCGGAAGGGGAGATCGGGCCAGAAGAAGAGGCCCGTCACAAGGCAGTACAGTCCTACCCCCGAGTACCCTAGGAACAGCTCTCTGCGCTGTATGTTCCATTCCCTGTGGAGCTCCCCGAACACCCAGAAGACGCCGGTGGAGAGCTCGAAGCAGGTGATGAGGTAGGCCATGGCCGAGGCCTTGCGCGTGCCGAAGAGCTCGGAAAACTGGAAGCAAGGCATCTGAATGAAAGGGCCTGCTATGCCTAGCAGGAAATATCCCAGAACGGGGAGCACGGTGTCGTTCTTGTCGCAGAGCGCGAGTATGATTGAGCCTGCGATCAGGAGCAGGCATCCGACGAGAGAGGTGAAGCGAGGACCGCACTTGTCCAAGATCATGCCGAGAGGAAGCTTGCAGAGCGCGTTGCCCGCAATGCCCATGGTCGCGACGGCGTTCATGAGGGTAGACTGCTGGTCGGGATCGAAGGCATCGAAGAGACCTGAGTCCTGGAGCACAGGGCGCAATGCTGTCCATCCGTAGGCCTCACCGGAAGCAAGGAGGACGTGAGTGCATGCAGTAGCAAAGAGGAAGTAGCGCTTTCCTTTCGATACCTCCATAACATGCGGGCCATGGTGGTGCGGATCCATGGTTGTAGGAGCTACGGGGTCGTTTCTCTATGCTCTCCTGTGGGGAGCTTCACGATATGACCTTCTCCTTATGCGCAATCACCAAAGTATCGAACCCTCTCCCCTCCCTCTCCTCCTTTTTCCCCTGCAGGTTCACCAAGAGGGCGCTTCTCGAACACTCGCTGGGGAGCTCGTCCAGCTCTCGGTGCACTCCACAGGGCAGCTGGATGCTACAGGGATCTGACAAGAGGATGGGAGGAGGTGGAGTAGGAGGGAGACGGAGGAATTGGAAGCAACTTCACCGACGGGAAGCAAGCAGGGCGGGAAGGAGGACAGGGACAAAGGACTGACTAGCAGGAAGTACCCCCAGTGGTCGACTACCCCAGAAACTGTGGTTTTGACTACCCCTCCTCGTAAACACCCCACCCTTCTCCTCAATATTTCACTGCACCCTACCCACCTTTAAATGTCAATGGGATTTCATAACCCCTTAATTTACCTGTAAGTACCCCTCTATTTAGGCATAATTTTGACCGTCGATTTTCATGTACCCCTCATCAAAGAACCTTTCCCTTCCTGCCTTTTAACTGCTCAGGTACGTAGTACGTAGTGCCCCTTGAAGGGGTGGGGGTATATAATTGACCCCACCCCTATCTTACCATCAACTGACACTAGATACGAGGGGTACGATGCAGTTGCACCCCTACCCAAAGAACAAAAACATAGCTCGGTCTATGGTGGGTAGTCTGTCCCTTCCAATTGCATAACCCCTTCTAATACAGTAAAAAGGAGGGGTACTTGTTCGATCTGGGGGTGAGATGTTTCCAAGTTCGAGTACCCTTCCACTTCACTAGCAACACCGTGCCCTCATCCCTCTAAAGGAAACTTGCCAGGACGGGCTGCTTGCTAGGACTCAGTCACGGTCAGCCCGGCGCCCGGCCACGGCGCCGGGCCGGAGCGGACCCGGTCCGTGATCGAGCCTGTCAGTTACTAGCCTAGTAGCACACTGACCGTTCCCGAGCCCGGCGCCGGGAACTTCGACTCGCAGGCTCGGGCCGGTCAGTCACTGTCCCCGATCGCGGACTCATTTAGAATGCCGTGCTAGTTTCGAAGTTCCAGAGTCTCATAATGAACTATGTAGTATGGTATCCGTAGTATATCAGCCGCCACAGTCTACGGCATCCCAGGCTGCCTGGCACTTCCTGTCCGGAGGTCACTCTCTGAAGTCTTCCCTGTCGTTATGCTCAGTTGCTGCTGCTGCTGCTCTTCTCGAGAATCTCGGCGATGATGGAACTTGGATACTTGCCTCCTCCTCCACCTGACAGCAGTCGGTCAAGGGCTACCCCAACCCTCGTATCTTGTCCTGCTCACCTCGCTACCTTCCCCGTCCAAAGTCTCATTGGCTAGCTTGGACTTGGCTTCTGCAAGCTGAAGAGGAGAAGAGTAAGACTCCAAGTGCGTCTCTCCAAGTTGCTTGAACCCCACCTTCCATATCTTCTCGTCTACCGTCTCCTGCACCACCAATTTGATAACCGTCACAGGTTTCGTCTGTCCGATCCTATGACATCTGTCTTCTGCCTGTTGGGAGAATTCTTCAGAAACTCTTCGCCCTCAACCAGGCTCGTCGTGCCTCCTCTTCCGCCCTCAATCCCCCCTACTCCTTCCCAATCCTCTCCTTTCCTCCAACGTACCATCAGCCTCCTCCGTACCATCCTTCTCCCCTCTTCACTCCCCTCTTCTCCAATGATCGCCCTCTCTCCTCCACCCGCACTCCTCCCCCTTCCCTCCCCTCTCTGCCTACCTGACGGTCAATCTGAGGATTGAAGTCAACATCATGCAGGATGACTGTGTCGGCCTGTCCGAGCTATGTCAGGGGGCAGGAGAAGCAAGGAGGGGGGGTGGGGGGGAGCACCGCGGTTAGGTTGATCCCCATGCCTCCTGCTCGGGTTGAAAGGAGGAAGCAGAAGATGGAGGTGTCGGAGTTGAATCTGACGCAAGTCATAACATGAGGCATTGAGAGTTACACAAGTCAAGAAGTTTGGAAGAGCAGCAGAAGCAGGAGAGGAAGGAAGGGGATGAAGTGGTAGTGAAGAGCGCAGGGAGACGAGAAGGGGGAGCGGAGAGGAACAGGACAATGAGATCATACGAGGAGAGAGCGTATGGAGGAGAGCGAGGTAGAGGGAGAAAGATGGCGCAGGGTAGAAGGTATATGGCTGGAGAGGAAGCAGAAACCTGTCTAGCAATTCCTGCCTCTCCTTTACCGCTGTACTTCCGTCCAGCCTCGTGTAGAGATAATCTAAAAGAGCAAGAAAAAATGCGATGAGCAAAGGAAAAGAGAAAGAAAGCAAAGGGAGGAGAGGAGGAGAGGAGGAGGAAGAGATGGAGAAGAGGAGGAAAAGAGATCTGAGCATGAAGGTAGGTTGAGCAAACCTTTGTCAATCAAGAAATCTTCGATTATGTCCAGCATGGTCGTCCACTGAGAGAACAGCAACACGCGATGCCCTTCGCTCTGCAAACAGGGAGAGAAAGGGGAAAAGATGTGAGAAAGATGTACCAACGAACAAGTCCAGAACAAGTTCAAAACAAGTTCAAAACAAGTTCAGAAGTAAGCAGAAACAAAGTTTAGGACTCCTGGACTTGTTTGTTTGCCCACCTGCAGACGGGGCAAAATCTCCTCGAGTTTTCGAAGTTTTGCAGAAGAGGAGATATCTTCAGGCTGGACGAACAGGTGAGAGGGGCGGATTGCAGGAAAGATCGACTGCACCTTGAGACTCAACTTGTTCAATCGCTTGTGATCTTGACACATTTGATGCAAGACGAAGTCGGAATAATCCGAAATCTCCTTCTCCACCTTTAAGAAACCCATGTGTCATTCTCAACTTGAAGGCGCTGCGGTTCTGGCCTTGCCTGCTGAAGAGAGCAGGAGTTTCCAAAGTGACCGCTGACAAAGAGCTGATGAGCAATCGTCCTGTTGAAGGCTCATCTCAGAAAAGAAGACACGAACGATGAGATGTACTTGAGCGCTTCATCGTTGTATCTTGAACGTACTAGAAGTGGATGATTGGCAGCCTTGGGCGTCTCTCACAGATCGCAGGAGCAAGGGAGAATATCGAGACCTTTCTGAGTTCACAGAAGATGTTGTTTATCATCTTCTTGCTCATTGCAACCTTGTCGCCTGCCTTGGCGTTTGTGTTCCCCCCTGCTTTATCGGAAGCACCCAGATCAGAGGATAGATGGAAATCAAGACACAACACCGGATGAATCTTTCTTGCTCTTGAATTCCCAGTTCGAGATGATCTGATTGTACACTTTCCTTTGCTCTGATGGGAGATCAAGCTGAAATGTGCGTTCAGAACAAGAAAAAGCATCCGAAGTAGCACTTGTCAAAGATAAAGTTTTGATCATCTCAACACCAACAAAGAGGGAACATCAAAATCGTGCTGATACGATGGATCAAACTCATCATCGTTTTGTATCAAGACTCGTCATCAGCAAGCTCGATCTCTCACCTGAATGACCTGCTGATCCTTCGGCACGAGCTCACCGAGCACGTCGCACTTGCAGCGCCTCAGAACAAACGGTTTGATCATCTTCTTCACCCTCTCAACATTGACTTTCTGATGAGACAAGAGGAGGTGAGAACAAGAACAGCCTTTCTGCCTCATCTTCACCCGAGCAAGGTTCCCCGACTCGGATTCAACCTTCTCATCAAAGACCTCCCAGAGCGTCTGCATACTCTGATGTTAGAGACTGATCATGTGATCGTATCTTTTCTCGACTGTGCACCTCGTCATCGGGATCGAAGAGCTCCGGCATCAAGAACTGTAGGAGAACAAGCAGCTCAGGGAGGTTGTTGTTGATCGGAGTTCCAGTTAGAAGAATTCTTCTCTCGCATGTCAGGTGCAACAGGTGTCGATATCGAGATGAGCCTGGGACCAAGTCAATGGCTTGACGATCTTTCATGACTTGTATCACCAGCATTCTTGATGCTGTGAGCTTCGTCCAAGATCATAACCTTGAAGTTGAATCTAGTAGTAGACATGAGGAGCAGTTAAATTCAGGATGATCGTCTGCATACGAGCGAAGGAAGGCTCTGTCTTGCTTGCCAGCTTCTCGTTCGAAGCAAGTGTAGGTTGTCACAACAACATCCCTGGACAAGGTCAGGAGCACTTTGACCCTGGTGCAAGCAAACCATGATGACGTATCGTGCATTTCGCTTCTTATCTGTGCTCTTTCTTTCTGTGAGCCGTGATAAACCACGACGCGCAGCTTCACATGCCACAAGTCAAAGACAACTCTGATAATCCTCCAACCCTCTCTCACCGACGGGAGCCACTGACTGAACTCTCTGTTCCAATTCGAAACGACGCTTGCAGGACAAACTATGATGTGCGGACCGGAAACTTTTTCTCCTTCGTGAAACGAAGTCAGTCCTATCACTCTCGGTGGGATCAAGGGCGTACTCTCGTAGATGTGAGCAAGGAAGGCTATGGTTTGTATCGTTTTCCCCAGTCCCATTTCATCTGCAAGAATCCCATTCACCTCTGACGTATGCAGCGTCCGCAACCTTTTTGATCATGAGTATTCGCTGCAATGCAAAGGTCAATCATCACCAGTTCAGCCCCACTAGCTGGTAAGGTTTCAACTTAAGGTTGTCCTGAGTTCCGAGGCATTTTGGTTGAGCAATACGTGATGAATGAGAATCTTTCTGCGTGTCTACAAGATCTGCCAATATGCAGGAGAGATTCTTGCCGATCTCTTCGACCTTTTGGAGTAGGTCATCTACTTTAGCTACTTCCTCATTGTCTTCCTCCTCCTCCTCCTCCTCGTGCCCTGATCTGCCCTCATCGCTGTCTTGAATAATTTCTACATGATCGTCATCTTCCGAGATTTCTATTGCTTTTTCGGAAGAGCCTACCCTTGATCGCCCTGATTCAAATGGAATATATCAGAAAAACAACACATAGCAAGACGAGAAGATTCATACCCTTTCCGTTTGAATTGTTCTTTTCATGTGAGTTTTTTGCCTTGTTGTTCGATTCATCCTCTTCATCGCTGCTGTCGACAATTTTCCTCTTCCAAGTGCCCTTGTGCCTTTTTTTCAACAGGGTTGCTCCATCAGAATCACTGCCTGAATCGTCTTCGACCCGAGAGACAGCTCGTTTTGTCGGTTGTGAAGACAGCACTTCCGACTCTTGTTTCGCAGGACTTGGATCTGGTGTCTCAGGAACAATTACTTGTTGGCTTTCCTCAGCATGTCTTGTGGACATCTCCTCATGATTTGCGCTCTGCGCATTCACATCTGCAATCAGCGACGCATCGAACTCAGTTTGAAAAGGAGACCTTCGGTCGAAACCAGTCGCTGGAAACAGGCTTTGAATCTGCTGCTGATCTTCCCACCGGCTTGTTCTGTTTGTTGTGCTGCACCTCTTTCCTATGCACAGAAAGAGAGATGTATGAGTGAGATCACTGCAAACATTCAAAACTATCAAATCACCAGTGATTTGGGTTCAGCCTGTAGCATCTACCGTCGAACGGGCAAACCTCCATGCCCATGATAAGCAGTCGGTTGAGTTCTGAGCTTCATTCATCAATCCACATTCATCACTGAAAACTGATATTGGGGTGGTACAGCCAAATCCAAAATCGCATATGAATTCTCTTCTATACCTATTCATCACCCTCGAACCATCCTATTCTCCGTCTTTGTCCCTCACTCTCCACTCACACGCCAAACATCATCAATTGTGAGGCTCGCTCCTCCATTTTTCAGCAGCACTTGCCTCCCATGTTGGGCCTCTCAAATTCAACTCCCACATCGCTGTCGACCTTCCTCTGAGTTTATCTTGCTTTCCTTCCTGAGTTTCTCACCCATGACTCATCCTTGTCTCTCTCCTTACCTCACATCTCACTGCTATGCTGCTCCCCGCCCCCCTCCCTCTCTGTCCCAGTTGCCCTCAATTCCCTCCTCTTCCTCCAGAACTCGCCTCACTACGTCTAGTCACTCTCTTTCTCCACTTCCCCTCCCTTTCCTGATTCACCCCTCTAGTTGCTTCCTCTTGTTCACTTTTCTCTCCCCCTGCCTCGTCCTGTCTTGTCTCCTGTCCTGTATGCTGTCTTGTCCTGTGCTGTCATGTCCTGTCTTGTCCTCTCCTCCCCTGTCCTGCCCTGTGTCCTGCCCTGTCCTTTCCTGTCCTGTCCTTTCCTGTCCTCCCCTGTTCTGTCCCGTCCCGTCCCGTCCCGTCCCGTCCCGTCCTCTTCTCTCCTCTCCTCTCCTCCTCTCCTCTTTCGCTTCCCATCCTCCCCACACTCCATTTGCAAGCTCCCGCCAAAACACACTTTAGAGGACTACCTAGCTGACTTGGTACCCCTACCCCCATTGTTGACTATAATTATTGCTATTTATACCCCGTGATCGTAGTACCCCTACC